TTCGGAAAAGGGGGAGAGAGGTTCGAAGAAGGGGGATGGAAGGTTCTGAAGAAGGGGGAGGGAGGTTCGGAAGAGGGAGGATGGAAGGTTCAGAATAGGGGGGAGGGAGGTTCGGAAGAAAGGGGATGGAAGTATCCGAAGAAGGGGGAGGGAGGTTCGAAAGAGGGGGGATGGAAGGTTCGGAATAGGGGGGAGAAAGGTTCGGAAGAAGGGGGAGGGAGGTTTGAAGAAGGGGGATGGAAGGTTCCGAAGAAGGGGGAGGGAGGTTCGGAAGAGGGGGTATGGAAGGTTCGGAATAGGGGGGAGGAAGGTTCGGAAGAAGGGGGAGGGAGGTTCGGAAGAAGGGGGAGGGACATACATTAGGAAGAAGGGGGAAGAACCTCCCTCCTGCTTCTTCCCACCCTCTCTTCCGAACCGCCCTCCCCCTTGTTGACAAGCCTCCCTCCCCCTTCTTCCGAACCTCCCTCCTGCTTCTTCCCACCCTCCCTCCCACTTTTTTCGAACCACCCTCCCCCTTCCTCCGTGCCTCCATCCCGCTTCTTCCGAACCTCCCTCCCCCTCGATGACGAATCTGCCTCGCCCATGTTCCAAACCTCCCTCCGAACCTTCTTCCGAACCTTGCTCCGCCTTCTCCCCGACCTTCCTCCCCTTTCTTCCGAACCTCCCCCACGCTTCTTCTGAACCTATCTTCTCCATGTCCCGAATAATCCGAACAACCGAATATAAAGAAGTTTACAACGTGCTCAAAACTTTTCAAATTAATGAAAACAAACGATTCAGAAAGTGAAGGAATGAATGTAAAATCAACCAAGTTTCTGAAAGTGAATGAATGAACCTATCCGAAGTTCCGAAGAAATCAAAGTCCCAAAGCTGAGCAACAACATACTATTACCCGAAAGTTTGCGAATGAATGACAAGTTTTGAAAATGAACCAAGATTCTCTGCTCATACAACCAAGATGAAATGAGAACACTGAAAAGTAAAATAACAAAGCAAGTTAATGAAAGGGGGAGGTTCGAGAAAAGGGGGAGGGAGGTTCGGGAAACTAGGGGGAGGGAAGTTCGGAACAGGGGAGGGAATCCGATCGAAGTTCATAAACATCAATCGGAATCCCTCCCCTGTTTCAAACCTCCCTCCCCCTTCTTCCGAACCTCCCTCCCCTATCTTTCGAACCTCCCTCCCTGTTTTGAACCTGCCTCCCCCTTCTTCCGAACCTCCCTCCCCTTCTTTCAAACCTCCCTCCCGTTGTTCTGAACCTCCCTCCCGTTGTTCCGAACCTCCCTCCCCTTCTTTCAAACCCCAAACCTTCTTCCAGTTATAAACCTTCGTCCCCTTGTTCCCAACCTCCCCCCTCTTGTTGATCCGAATTTCCCCCCTCTCGTTGTCCCGAACCTCCCCTCCTCTCGTTGTTTCTGAATCTCCCCTCGTTACGAACTTTGTACATTTGGAAAGCAGGGAGCGAAACACCGCATGGAGCCGTCACATCAAAAGGATCGAAGAGAGAGAGAGAGAGAGAGAGAGAGAGAGAGAGAGAGAGAGAGAGAGAGAGAGAGAGAGAG